AATATCCCAGTGAATGGTAATCCATCTAATCCTAGTGAAAACAGTCAATTTTTGTAACTATTTAAACAATATAAAAAATCACATAAGGTTTTATGTCAAAGATGTATCACAATACATTTTTCAGTAGTATAAAAGCTAAATTGTTATTGTGCCAAGTCATAATACATAAGAAAGCATGAACATGAATCATAAAAGACTCAATGGGCATCATAGAGAAATCATAAAGATCATATTACATATTCATAGGTATACTTTGGTCGGATGTGCACAACCGAAGGTGTTTAGGGGCAGTAAAATCATAAAACATAACATGAGCCCACATTAGGAAAAACATAAATATGTCGAGCGCTACTACAATATGTAGCCCGTGTTGGGAGTCGCCACTCTCCAGCCAAACTAACACAATCTTTGGCGCATGGTCCTTTTCATTAGGGAAATAAAAATACATATATCATGTAATACAAGTAGAACTACCACCTGCCCGAGATAATTGCCCGACATCATGGTCTAGGTGCTAAGGCATCAAAATAACATAAACTCATGAAACCATAAAATTAAGCATATAATTGAAATCACAACATAGTTGGACTGTTCCCTGTGTTCTCAGTAGTAACATATAATTGAGTTCGAAATGATCATTATTCATTGTAAATCATAGTTTGCAGAAATAAACTAGGATTAGGAAGATTCCCACTCACAGTGTAAAAGGAGTCTATAAGGATGCTCCTAGAGCTGTAGGTCTAGAGTCTAGAGTAACTAAGGTATCCTCTCCTACAAGGGATACACATACATGAGAGAAATACTCTAAAAATATTATATGAAAGCAATAACTATACTTAAATTATAAAAATATAATTTTCCTCATTCTCTTAATATTTAGGTTCAAACCAAACATGTCCTTAATCTCTCTCTACTTTTGGGTTCCATCCAAACATGCCTTTTATCCCGTTTTCCCCTATTTCAGCTCCAACCAAACATGCCCTTATCCCATTTCAACATCATCTCACCCATTTCTCTCATATTTCAACCATATATACTTCATCCAAGTTTTAATCCAACCATGAAAATATAGATATCTTCAAGTAAAACAATATCTAAGGGTACATTAACTACAAATATCAAAATTCATGTAAAATATCCTATATGTGAGGTTAAACCCACTTTCTCTCTCTACAACACACAACAATATCAAAATACAAAATCTGCACCGATTAAAAGTTATAAATGAAGAGAGGAAGCTAAACATATAAAAATATTGAAGAATAACCAGACAGAGTTTGAGATTTGGCCATTTTATATACTTTTTTCCCTTTTCTTCTCTTTTCGCTCTTCCCCTCTATTCCTCTCTCTTCAAGTGCGAAAATGAGCCCTAGAAAGGCTCCCCCCACTTTTAAAACAATGGTTCATAAGCCAAAAAGACCATCATGCCCCTCCTTCAAATTATCCTCATTTTTAATCCTTATAAATTTTTGGATGAATTTTAGATACCTTAAGATATCTCCCAATCTTTGATTTGTAAAACTAGGGGTTCAAAAGGGTTTAGGAGTCTTTGAAGAAGTTAAAAATCCCAAATTTTTAAGGAAAATGCCAAAAATCACGACCAGGCGCTACGGCATTGTCTAGCGTGCTACAGCAAACCAATTCCAGTGGCTACCGCGCTATAGCGCTTGGGCGCACTATAGCACCCAAATTCCAGTGTGCAGCGCTACGGCACGCTGCTACAGTAACCCAAAAACTTTTTTTTTTATAAAAACATACTTCTTTCCAAACTTCCAGTACACTTTCCTCCTTCCTAAACTCCTCAAATTTTCCTCTAAATAAATTTAAAACCCAAGCAAAAGTGGTTTAAGAATTTTTAAAGGAAATGGGTTTTGGGTGCTATATTAACCTCAGGCATCTGTGTCTTCAAGTTCAGTAAGTGTTTTTTATACTTAACAATCTATTATATTACATACTTTCATCTATTATTTGACAGTCACAAATCTGTAACGTTCCAAATGTCCATATGTTGTTTTACAAACACCATTTGTATTATTACATTCGGTTGTCAGTTTCCACTTTTGCATCAAACGAGCAACCATTATTTAGCTCAAAGATATGCTAGTTTACATTCACACATATGTCATCTTTTATCACTAGTCTGTACCTTAACATCAGGCATTTGTGTTTTCAAGTTTAGAAAGTGTTTTTATACTTGACAATCTATTATATTCAGACTTTCATCTGTTATTTGACAGTCGCAAATCTGTAAAGTTCCAAATGTCTATCTGTTGTTTTACAAACATCATCTGTATTATTACATTTGGTTGTCAGTTTCCACTTTTGCATCAAACAAGCAACCGTTATTTGGCTCAAAGATATGCCAGTTTATAGTCATGCATCTGTCATCTTTTGTCACTAATCTAGGTCTTCATATACATGAAATATTTTATACATGCTCACTAGTAGTGTTACAGTCATCTATTTGTTATTTGACAGCCTACAATCTGTCACTTTCCAAACTACCATCTATTGTTTTATAGTCTTCATCTATATTATTACATTCTGATATCTGTTTCCTTTTGCATCAATCATGCATCCTTTATTTGGGTCACCAATATGCCATTTTGCATTCATGAATGTGTCATTTTCTAATCACTATTCTGTAAATGCACACTCATGCATCTGTCTCTTCATATTCAATTACTGTTTACATTATTTCCCATGTACTTTGTTACAGTCATCATTCTGTTATTTGACAGTCGCTAATCTGTCATGTTCCAAACGTCTATCTATTGTTTCATAATCACCATCTGATTGTTACAATCGCTTATATGTTTCAACGTTTTATCAATAATGCTACTGTTATTTGCTCACTGATATGCCACTTTGCATTCACACATGACCAATTTTTCAATCACTATTCCGTAAATATATACTCAGGCATTTGTATCTTCATAAACATTTATCCCTTTTTACACTTGACCTTCTGTTATGCTACTGTCTCACATCTATTATTTGACAGTCACAATCTATCACACTCCAACTAACCATCTGTATTGTGCATAGACGTATATTCTCCTACAATCCTTATCTATATTGCGCATAAGCATCTCTTCTTTTACATCCATCTGTCTTTTTGCAATCATTTGTTTGTAACTTTACAATATATTATCTATATTTTACAATAAAGTGTCTATTTTCTTTTTTCTTCCAATCATGCATGGCATTTGTATCCCTCATCTATAATTTTACATTCATACATCTGTGTCTTTACAATCACTATTAGTAATTGTACACTCAGGCATCTGTCTTTTTCACAACCCTGTATATTTTTTTTTTTATATTCATCCATCTGTTTTCATACTATCATATGTCTGTTATTTCACAATCGCTTATCCATCATTTTCCAAACACCAATATTTCATTTTACACTCGCCCATCTATCTCATTTTAATCTTCCATCTGTTATTTTACACGCAACTATTTGGCATTTTAGAGTCATTCCTGTGGTTAGGGCTGTTCATAGTTTTAAAAAACTGAGTCGAACTGCACCGTACTAGAAGTTAGGTTTTTTTTTTTTTTTAAGATCTATAGGTTTTGGTATTAGGTAATACCGTACCGAATATTTTGATATGGTTTTAAGTTTTATAAATTAAAAATTAAAAGAAAAAAGTACCGAACCGAATATTAAATATAATAATTTATTAAATTATTTATATTATATATAAAATATTCAAATTTCTAGAGATTAAGAATAATTTAATAGTAAATTGAAAAAATTAAAAAGATGGAGGCTTATATAAATGGGAGATATAAATATAAGAGGTTAAAATGTAAAAAGAGAAAATATATATACAAAATTTTGTTTCAAACACTAATCCTCTCCTTTCTCACGCACAACTCTCACAATCCCCTTTTCTCTCCTTGCGGTTACCTTGCCTCGCTTCTCTCATCTACTGCCTTGCCTTAATTTTTATTAATCATGACTATTATTATTCAATACCTGCTTTACTTTTATAATATCATATATTTGCGAATACAATATTGTAAGGACACTACCCAACCGTTAGATCAAGTGATTAAGTTGGCAATGGAAGTGCCGCGTGGAGACATAATCAAGGGCCTAGTTGAATTGTGTTTCTAGTGGAGGGTCTGGATTAGGCCACGTAAGACGAAGCAATGTATTTCGGCTACTTGCGAAAGCCATAAGTGAAGGAACAAACCAGAGTCATAGGGTATCACAGTCGAATGGACAACTAGTGTATATAAAACATTTTACTTGTGCCTTGCATTTATTGTCTTACAACTGTTGAAATTTATCTCTACGCGTATTTGTGCCCATGCTTCTTGGAATGCTCTGCGACGAAGGATATAAAGTAATGCACGATATGTAGAATAATTTTTTATACAACAAGAATAGAAATAAAATTTTTATGAATATATTTAATAGATATTGGTAAAATAAGAATTTTTACTCTATCATTATATTTGGTGTTTTAGTATAGGAGTGGAAAAAGAAACAAAAATAATATTCAAAAACTAAAATATCTTTTATTAAAAATAGTTAAATAACTTTTATTTTTACTATATTATAAATATAATAAAATTTGAAAATTTGAAAAATTTATATTCCAGCCTTAAATATTAAATTTCAAAACAAATAATTCAATAATGCAATATTATAATATATATATATATATGTAATTATTGAAATTTTATATTTGACTTTTGATATGTCTAGAATAGTCTTATTATTTGTTAAAAATATAGAGAATAAGAGTATAATTTTATATTTGACTAATGAAATGGAATCCAGATTTTATTATTTGATGAAATTCTCGTTTCTATTCCAATATATATACCAAATATAATTTTATAAAATTTCTATTCTCATTTTTATTTTCATTCCCATTCATTTTTCAAAATTTCATCCTAACTTACAATACCTAAGTCGTATAGGTAATTGGTTAAAGCCTATATGCAATGTTGTGACAACTATCGTTGAAGATTGGACACTTTTTCATGCAAGCAATGACCATCACACTTACTCGAATTCGTTGAGGTAGAGCACTCAACCCAAAATCTGAAACTTTAAGAAGTCCATTTGAATCAAGTAGCAGATTCTCTGGCTGTGAATTTTATATAGCATAAAACTTTAAGTCGACAGAAATTATAATTGAAAAGCAGGGATCATCTCACCTTCAAGTCTCGGTGGAAAATGCCTCTGCTGTGGCAGTAATCCACTGCATTTATAAGCTGCTGAAAATGCTTGCTTGCTTTGTCTTCTTTCAATCTCCCTTTGCTGCCTGCTCAAAGAGATACGACAAACATTAATAATTTATAGCTACTTGTATGGGAGAAGATTATATTTTTGAATGCAATAACACTGTTGTCTTACAATTTTGTCAAACAATTCACCTCCAGTTACGAGTTCCCAAACAAGGTAGATTTTAGTCTAGCTAGCCATAACCTGCAATAAGGATCTCCAGTCACCCTAACGCATATATGGGAATATTAACAAAGCACAAGCTTGCTGATTTATGATAATACAAGTCCACAAGACTAATACTAATACAAGTGGCCTTGCTTGCCCCATCCTCAACCCCTCCAAAACAAATAAATAAAAAGAAGAAAAGGAGCGGGGCGAAGTTGATTGTTAGAAAGCCTTGTTGAAAGTATACATGATAATGGCGGCACATTCTGACCTCATTGACACGGATCACGTTTGGGTGTGTGATTAATTTCATGGTTGAGATTTCTTGTTTAATATGCAAAGCACATAATCGACAGATCAATGCCCAGTGTTACCAACTGGGGTGATTGGGCGAAACCACCCTTAGAAATAATTGACCAGGAAAGTAGATAGCAATTAAAAATCTGAAAGGTTAAAATCACTAAGAAAAGAACGAATCAATCACTGGATTTCTCCCATAACGATTCAAATACAGAATCGCTGAATCCACATTTACATGTGAAATCAACAGTTTCTTCTAATAAATGCTAGGAATTGGAGTGAAAAGAAAGAAAGAGTGACCTGATTGATCATCTTATGCCTGAAAATTTTGTCTTTCTCAAGAATCTTTATGGCGACGCTTTCTCCAGTATCTACATTCCTAGTGAACTTCGCCTTGGCGAAAGTTCCCTCCTCCAGCGTTCTTCCCAGATCGTATCTCCCCACCCAAGTCCTACTGCATCCTGCCCCACTTCTGTTCCTCTCGCTTGCCATCTCTCTCCAAAGAAATTAAGACGTCTTCTTCTTTTCAAGGATCCACCAGCCGAGGCTTCACCACACTCAACATCTATTTCATAGAGAAAGCGGATAACGACATCGTTAAAGACCTGAACAAATTCTTATAGACGACTTTGAAGACCAACACTTTCAAATTTTGAAATTTCTCCCTTTTGCTGAAAAGGAAAAGAACAAAAGAAAAAGAAAACAGCAACCGATGAATGGAAGAAAACTTGAAATATCACCATTAGTCCTGAACTAATTTGGGTTTTAGAGAGAAAATGGATTGATTTCGTCAACTAAAATGATCCTCTTTCTTACCAAAAGTTTGCAATTCAGAAATTTCGGAATACGAGGTTAACAATCATGCCGCGGGTTCAAATCGAAGTCAGATACTCTTTCTTAACATCCGTTAATATGTCTGGGCTGTTGGTTTCTCCAAATTGAAGTCATCTGACACTTCTTCCCTCCCTCGTTCAAGTTACAGATCACACCTCTCGTTTCCACGTTCAGACTTCCATGCTCTAACAATAACGGCTGAAATTGTCTTTTCCATTTTTATTGTTTTGTTGATAGACATGTTTAATATAAATTATAAGAGATAAATAGAACTTTATACTCTAAAAAGTTTGAACTTTAGCATTATACTTATTAAAAATAAAAAATTATAAATATTAGGATTAAATTTATTAAACTCTCTTAAATTATTCCTAAAAAATTACTTAAACTCCTAAATTACTAAAATATCATTTACTTCCCTAACTTTAATAGTCCGTTAGTGATAACTATTTAAAAATTACTGACGCCAACAATTACAGGTTACAACTGACTGAAGTTAAATCGTTAGAATTTTCAAATTAAAATACTCTTTAACTCCTTAAAAATAATTATAAACTTATTTTTCATCCATTTTTACCTAATACTGTCATTTCACTCATCTCTTTTATTTTCTCTCATATTTCAATAATTTCTCAAATTTTTAGATATTTTTTATCCCAAAATTTTTTTATTTAATATTATATATTAAAATTGAAAAAAAGAGAAAAATGCCAAGTAGTTCTCATTCAACAAATTTGCAAAAAGTTTGCAAATTTTTTTTAACAATCGAAATATTGTGTTAGTAATTTTCTTTGATTATATTACAATTGCAATAAACCTGCATAAATACAAATATTTTACATAAAATTAAATCTGATTTAAAAGTTCGCTAGATGTAGTAATTGAATTATAAGTAATTTCTTATTTTTTTAGTTTTTATTTAAGGTAAAAAAATATTCCCCTCTCTCTAAACTCGCTTAAATGACACTTAACTCCACCATCACTTTTTTTCTTTGACTAACTGTTAATTAACAGTTACTTAATATTTTTGTTAAAAATGACATAAGATTAACTTAATTTTAAATAATTTAGTTATCCATCTGAGTAAAAATTAAAAAATTATTTGAATCTCTAAAAAATTATTTTTTAAATTTACTATTTTTAATTCAAAAAAATAAAAATTGCATTTTTAGTTATTTAATTTCATTATTTTTTATTTTTAAATAATTTATATTTTATTTTTTAAAATTACAGTAAGCCCTTTTTTAACTTAAGTAACACTCAGTTATTCTTATTTCAACATTTAAATAAAACAAAAAATAAAATAAAAATTATTTAAAATTAAAAAAATTAAACTAAATTATCAAAAATTAGATTTTTTATTATATTTTAAATTAAAAATAATAAATTTTAAAAAAAAAATTTATTTTAATCGAATAATATTTTTAATAATAAGAGGAAAGAGTGAAATAGGTCTAATTGAGTAAGTAATAGAAACAAATAAGAGAGATGAGTAAACGAGAGTTGTCAGGTGAGAAATTGATGAAAAATAAACTAACAATTATTTAAAAAGAGTTCAAGGGCATTTTTGTCCAAAAATTTCAACAATTTAACTCCTGTCAGCCGCGTCCCATGATTGCTAACGCTAGCAATTTTCAACGGCTACCACTAATAGATTGTCGAAGTCAAAGGGATAAATGATGTTTTAATAGTTTAAGGATTTAAGTGATTTTTTGGAAATAGTTTAAAGGGGTTTAGTGAAATTAGTCTTAAATATTAAATTTATAATATTTACTTCTTCAATTAATATTTTAGTAAAATAATTGTCAAAAATTCTATTTTTAATAAGTATAAATGTTATTTTTAGTAAAAATGACAACTATAAATGGTTGAAATAGAAGAACATCAATCAATATTTATACTTAAAATGATATTTATATCTTTTAAAGACAAAATTTTTGATAAACATATCACTAAAATACTGATATGAGAGTAAGTGTCATGAATTTAATATTAGGCAAATAGCATTTTACCACTTAGAAAATTAAAATTTTAGCACTAAACTCTCTAAAAATACATAAAAGTGACTTTCTTTCCTACAAATATTAAATTTATAATACTTAACCTCCTACTGAACATTTAAGTGAATATTTGTTAAAAATTAAGCTATTAAATAATATGAATATCATTGCAATTATAAATGTTGATTAGTTTCCTTCTATTTTAACATTGGCAATTATTATTTATACTTAAGAGATATTTATACCTTTTAAAAATAAACTTTTTGATTAATATTTTAAAATAAAAAATTTATTTTTGTGATGTGAAATTTTATTCTTATTGCTAAAATTATATTTTTAAAATTTAACATAAATATCATAACTCTTTAATTATAGAAATTATGTTTTTGAAATTTAATATAAGTTTCATGACTCTTTAAAATATTCATTGAAAATTTTATTTTTAAAAGGTATAAATATCTTTTTAAATATAAATAATGATTGCAAATATTGAAATGGGAGAATATCAATCAACATTTATAATTGAAATGATATTTATTTTTTTAAAAAATAGAATTTTTAATAAATATTTCATTTAAATGTTAATTAGGGAGTAAGTACTATAAATTTAATATCTGTAGGAGAAAATTCTTTTTTATGTTTTTTTAGGGAGTATAGTGTTAAAATTTAAATTTTTTAGAAAGTAAAGTACTATTTATCTTTTAATATTTGTAAGGAAAAAATATTTTTTATATAATTGTAAGAAGTACAGTGTTAAAATTTACAAGTTTTAGGTAGGGCTGTTAATGAAATGAATTTTAATCTGAATCCAATCTGAATTCGATCCGATTATTTAAGATTTTTAATCAATAAAAAAATTCGATAGACATAATCCAATTATAAAAATTTATAATCTGAAATAAATAGAGCGAATATGGATATAGCCTGATTTGACCCGTTAAAAATCTGAATTTGAATATATTGTTGTCCCAAAAGACAACCCAAGAAGGGGGTAAATTGGGTTTTTATCGTGGAAACTAAGTGTGTAAAAAAATTAAAAACAATAAAAATATTAAATCAAATAAACTAATACAATTCACCCAATAATAAACATAAAACAATTTTAAGTAAAGTAAAGAGAGTAGAGATAAGAGATGTAAACTCTTTTATAGTAGTTTGACTTGCCACCCAACCACCCAAGTCTACGTCTACTCTCTCGAACTTCAACTAGCCGAGGTTCCACTAAGTCTCTTGTACTTGACGGAGGCAAGAAATCTCAAATACAAACAAAGTCTATTGCATTTGGCGGAGGCAAGAAATCCCGATTACAAAACCTTTGATTTGGTGAGCTTCAAATATCAATACAAATTGTAATGAAAATGGAGTAGAAATGTAGCAATTCCTCTTAAGTAGGATTAGCTACCACTCATGTACAAAAATGATCTCACTTCAAAGAAGTACTCTCAAGAATAAAACAATTTCTTCTATGCACTCTTTGATCTAATAATAAACAATATAGTACAAAAAATTAGAGAGAGATTGAGAAAGCTTTTGAGAGTTTGTTGTTGTGTCTTTCTCCCTTCAATCTATGCTCCTTTTATAGGCAAAAACACCAAAGAGACGTTGGCCTTTGTGGAAGATAAAATCATTTCTCAACAGTAACTGCACATTGGCTCATTTCAAAAATTCAAATAAAAGGCTCCGAACGTTCAAAAATTCTTAAAAAATTCTTGGATACTCCTGAGTAAGTCTGTTTTTAAATGCAAAAAGAATCATTGAATTATAGTGCGCCGTTTGAGAGAAATGATCAAACGTTCATCAATATGTCAGACTGTAAAATTGCTTTTGTCAAAAGTTGTTGGCCAAGTTCAAAATTATCTATAAATTCGAATTTGTATTCAAAAATAACAAATTATATATTGTTGAAAAACTTATAACGTCTACTTTCATTCAAAATTGGATTCATACAAATTTAAATTTTATATTTTGAGATATGATAAAAATACTGTACTATACTCATTTTATCTGCTGACAGTACAACTCAGCAAAAAGGCCCACTTTGAAAAATTATATCTGACAATCTATAAGTGTAAAATGTGCATATAATATATGCATTTAAACCTCAGCACGTCTATTTTATAAATAAAATTAATTCAGAATTTTATTTATATTATAAGTTATATTTTACTAATTAAAAATAAATATCGTGTAGATTTCAAAAATGACTTTTTTATAAAATAATATGTGAGATTGATATAATAAATCACTTTAATACAAAATAATATATATGATGAATTATATATCAAAATAAAGATATTTGAGTGTAGTTTCATATAAAATTGACTTTATAATTTTTTGACTTTTCTATAGTAAGATATAATTAATTTACTACACACATGTTTAATTTAATAGCTTCACAATCTAGTACAAGTAATGTATGTAGTTAAATAATAAACTTAATATTATAAATTGTTCATATTATTCATTATATAAAAATATATAATAATTTTAATTTCTTTTATCATTATCAAAATAAATATGAAACCTTGAGGTTAACATATATATATATATATTAACAAATATATATATATATTAATATATATATGTATAAATTATACATAGAACATATATAATATATAATATGACATAATATTATATTAATCACAATACAAATGCTTG